CGGTGAAGCGGTAAAGGTCTATGTTAATGTAAGTTAACAGAAATTTACATAAGTTGATTTCAAACTGCGACGCACTTAACTTAAATGAAATATAGGTTTTCTATTCAATTATTTTCAGGCTACAAGTGGAAAGAAATGCGTGACTGTAACGAGTGAAGGGACATCAGAAAAGCTGTGTCCGTCAAGTACAAGTAATCAGTTGATATCCCAGAAGGCAATTGAACTGAGCGCGGAGTCGGAGGTCACAACTACGGAAGCAGCGACAACAGAACCAAGTGCAGCACAAACAACAACAACTAAAAACGAATCAGGAGGGGATAAAAATGACACAAAAACAGTTAAACCCGGTGATAACGTAGAAAACGGCAAGCCAGAAAAAGAGGGGAATGAAATTCCAGATCCGCAACAGAAAGAAAAACAATCGGGTGATCCGGACAGAGCGCCGGAAAAGGAAGCACCCGAAAGTCACAAACAAGCAGCACCAGCCCCTGAGGTACAAGAAAAGAACGTTCCAGATGCTAGTGCACTACTTCGACGTGCCAGAGATATCTCCGATACCGATGTTACGGTTTACTACGTATTAGGTGAGCGTTGCAAATCACTGACACCTTTGTGGAAATCACTGTGTATTTCAAACCCACTGTTTCAGGAGTACACTACCAATGCTCAAAGTCGATTTATGCGGAATCATGATGAACCAAGCTTAGCTTAATCAATCGTATCCCGTGTATTCCGTTTCAGCTGGCGTATCAAAATCCAATCCCTCAGGGTTCCTCCTTCTTGGCTTGTTTACATACATTGTCAAAAGCTTCGTTTAGTGAGTTACTTAACGCAAATAACACTCACGTTTCTCATCAGGTTATGTTTTCCGAACTCCGTTGATTGAATTTTGAGATATACATTCGAGAAAACATGCTCTGCAGCAAAATAAAATAGTTTCAATCCGATTTTTCCTCTTCAGATTTCGACCAATAACGGAAGGGTCTTGAAGAAATCCGAAAATCTTCAAGAAGATTTATAATACCAATAATTTAATAAAATGTTTTAATCAAACACTTTATATTCTTTGTGAGTTATTGTTATCCCAACGGAGTCTATGCAAGATCGTTCGTGAGCGATAACACAGAACTAGCTGAGGAGGCATAATTAAGCACATTATTACACCACATTTCAAAGCATTCAGGATTTAGGTAGAGGGGAATATTCTGTCACTACATATAGTGAAAATGTATACCGTTATCGTACAAACGAGAAGGATATTTCATTCAGATAGTGAAACGCACTGTAATTGTAACACCTGTATATCTATCTGTCAGCTAAAAATGGAAGAAAGCTGCAAGCCTCGTGAAGAAGCTGATCATAAACACGCATAGGCATTTATGCTGCAGCCCAACAAGTGGCAAATTAGGCGGCTTTCATTATATCTGATCCATGGTAACGCCCTGGTATTGGTTCAGAGCAAATCAGGTAACAGTTGAGCATACATTCATTGTGATTCATCAATAATGCAAACTTGCTGCATCCTTAAACTGTATGTGAAAATGTTGAAGAAACATTTTCAAAGAAGGGAATTTATTGTAAGATTTCAATTGGGTATTCATGTAGGATCTGCATGTCTCCGAAAATGAGGTTTACACATAATAAAGTATTTTAGCATAACAACTCAAATTATGAAATCTTTATTCACTAATAGCATAACTGCCATCTTGCATAGGAGTCCTCCAGTTTGGGTTGCCTGAAATGTTATGCAAATGCACGGATATTGTGCCGATGGTCAGGGGAATTACTTCATTGAATTGTTGTTGCAATTCCGGTGGTCGTGTTGTTGAAGTCTGTTTCATGTATACCAGTTGTTATTTACTTTGTCTCTAATCTAGAAAAATCGCACGCTGGATTGAACCCAGTATGTTGTAGATTTTGGGCCAGTTTTCGATTCGTTCATTGTTATATTTCACAGTATGTCTTAATCTTTTGTTTCCAAAAGGGATCATGCTCACGATCACACAACTCACACGGAAAGAAAAAACATCTCAGTTTTTTATACTTTTCTCATTTTTCAATAAAAATGTCAATTTACTTCACGTTTCGAACATTGCTACCCATGTATCAAATTGTGCTGCATATATGCAAAAGTGCCCAATAAGGCTCGAGTGACATTTTTGTGAAGGTTCAAAGGAACCGTTAATTCAATTGTTATTGTTGTGAGGTACTACTCACATTTGTGAGTAACAGGCAATACAAATAGTGATTGTTTTCGATGATTAAGAATCAAGAAGAGCACCGAGGGTAAACTTCTGGGTCTCCAAGAATAACTCTGGATTGCTACATCCATTACCCGTTCAGCGGCCAGGAACTACGACGGTATGTTTCTGAGGAGATTCGTGTGCTATATATGCCAAATTGGCGATGTCCCATCTGTTTCCCTCAAAAAACAACTATCGTCAACTCCGCACTGCCTTGTGGAATTAAAACACCATCACCCTTTTTTGCACGAATGTTTGGGTTAGGAAAATCAGCTTCTCAAAATACTTCAATTAAGCAAAACGTAATTATCTGTGTTAATACTTGCATCAGAAATTAGATGTGGGCTCCTGCATCATATCGCCTACAATCTCCGAAATTTCAAGATACTAGATTTTTTTCGATTATCTTAGGATGGATTTGCGGGAGCTTCATTTGCTGAAATAATTTATTCAGGGATCACGTAGACAGATAAAAAATAAATCTACAGGTAGGTTAAGAAAATTTTGTGCCAAAGCTTTGACCTTATTCGGAACATTTTATCTGGGATACCACAATAACAGTGAGAATCAAATCAACTCAACACAGGCAACTAATGGAACTCATGCTACACCCCGATCTTCGTCAGATCTCTTCTCCCACACACCTATTCTTTTGAGTGACATTCATGGAGAGAATTATAGTATGCTTTCTCAAGTCCCCTTGTTTATTCACGCAATACATAGCATCTCGGACAAAGCCTAATGTCACATTAGCATACATTAAATTTTTGAACCACCAAATGTTAATTAAACAGTGAAAAGATGTCATACCACTCAGCACAATATTGTTTAAAGCATTTATCATTTGTTTTCTCTTAGGTAAGCGATTTGTTTGTGAATAGCTACTCGCTTATTTCTTTTATTTAGCATGAATCTGCCTCGGATTTCTTCGGTCATCAGGTTGCCTATCACAATTCCTGCTGTCCAGATTAGCCTATACTCTTTTTTTATGATCTTCTGAATGAGGGAAGCAGTCACTGTACTCGCTAATTTGAAAGCAGTGTCACCAAATAAATCCCGGGTCGCAATCGTATTACTGGATCAGTGTAGAAGTATTTGGGTTGGCCGGAAAGACAGGAAGCAAAACAATAACTTTGGTTTAGAATTTTGGAGTGACACTCAGTCATTGCTGCAATAACCCAATTATAAATAATCTATAGAGTTGAAACATGTATTACTCTGAAACCGGATTTCGGATCAGTACTGGTCAAGCTATAAGGTCACCGAAATAATCACCAGAGTTTCCCGCGTTCGAGCCCCTCCGTCACCTCCCATGTTCCCAATATTATTGTTTTCTCAAGTAGCATCTGTTCAGCCTTCCTTCCTTCATGAATATTAATTGCACATATCATTAATCAGCAAACAAACAGGGATAAAAGCATTTTTTTGTTTCTTTCTATAGATAATGAGTAAATACTGAATGTATGGGCATCAAAATAATCCTTGTTACGCCAATCCGTTCTACACGGCTCACATAGCACTGAACTAGCTAGACAGCATTTTTTAACCAGCCTTTTATACGCACATGACACAGACACCGAATATAATCTCTCCAAACCATAAAACTAACCAGAAACTCATGTTTCATGATCAATCAAGAAATTCTTACCTATTTGAGCTCATGCGCTTCGACATCCAGTCATGATTTCATTCATTACCGCAACGCGCACACATAATTTCTTTGGATTTATTCTAAACCAATCGAATTCTTTCCATTTTGGAAAGGTACCTCACATAATTCACCTAACCGTTGTCACAAAAAAAGATTTTTGATTTATGGCTACTTGCTACAACAGTTGCTCTTTCCCTCCCAAAATTCAGTTTGCTTTTAGTGCTTCAGTATTTGAAGAAGGACCTCTAATAGATCACAGCAATCGGTAGATAAAGAGAACTAACACCCGTTCAGCTAATGAACGGATGTTTCCTTATCGATTTTCAACTGATGTTTGCCTGTACCCCGTCAGCGCTGTAAAACGAAATGGAACGCCTCACAGTGTAGCCGATTAAGTTTCTATTTTGGCGACCCAAGACCGAAAGTGAGGCCATTCAGAGATACACGACACAGTTTTGAATCACTCAATAAAGGATCCCGTATTTCGACCAATCCAATTCGATGATGTTCAACAAGGGCAATATGACCGAAATAACACAAAAAATGTACAATTTAGATTATACATTTATGGTCTTTTCTCATACATACTACTTTCATCGCTGGATTTAGTTCAATAACTGATCGGCGACTTGTGTGTCCATCTTTTTGAGTATTGTCATGGACAATTTGATCAACAGTCCGATTCCGATTTCCATTTCAAACTTGCCGACATTTCGATTACCGTGTAACATGATCGTCAAACCGCAGCTGGGTACAGGCTCCCAACAGTTGACCACGAGCTGGTGGTTAAATCGAATACATTCGATACATTGTCTTCGTCTCACAGCTATTATTTCACCGACTATAAAAGTCACTATTACTGTAGCAAATTGACCATGCACACATTGTGTGGAACCATGTTTCTGAGTTCTCTGCCTGAATGTATGACCGGAAAACAGTGTTTTCAAGTAAATTCTACATCCCGTTGATGGTTAGTTGACAATCAGGTAGCTGCGAATACCCCACCTACATGATAGTCTCAATGACTCCATAAACTGATTTCGCTGTTCTAGAATGAACCGAATGTTACATAAGAACAGATACTCGGAGGTGAGGAATAGATAATCGCGCTCTTGCAGAACATATGTATATGTGTGCTTTTGCGGAGTCATTCATATACCACTTATTGTGTAATACCATATATAAAAATATTTAAGTCAAGTGTTCTGCCGTTACGCTCATCTAACTAGCATAAAAAGCGGTGAAAGAGCTGCCTTAAAATAAAATCGGGTTTTACAAATGAGAATAACGGGACTAGCGCACACGTACTTGGTAAAAGTAAATGAATGAAGTGAGAAGAAAGATTCAGAGAGTTATGTAGTCTGTACGACTAGATAAATTTCACTAAGCAATCTTG